CTCACCGCTCATCACCGCCCAAAATGGGCAACTCAGCATCGACATTGGCGTCATCGGCAAAGGAGAACTGTGATGTTATCTCATGAAAGCCGATATTGTGTTTCGACAGTCGATGGCAGAGTGAGAGTGTGGCGAGGGCGTGGAGAAATGTTTTCCAATGAGTGTATTGTTGAAAGAGACTCGTGGGGTGGTCCAAGCATCATAGTGTGGGGTGCAATCGGTCTGAACCAGTTAGTTAATACCGTGGTGTTTCATTCAGGTATCGGCGAGTGACAGATCCAGGGAAGAATTTGTTCCCGTAGCTGGATGTAAATAGCTGGAGGAATCATCATTAAATACACATATGTCGTTCTCTGAAATAAATTCTGCAATGATGTTACCTTTACTATTAGTATGAGCATTTCCCCAAAGCTGTCACCGTTCAGATCGCCCATGCATGATAAGGCATGGCTTCGTCAGTTGATCATATAGATTATCATAAGAGAGACGTATATACAGGTGGCACAGCGTTAAAGTAATTTGCAGGATGATACGAACAGTTTGAAGATTTGTATTAAAATAGACAGTGCTATGTATTATACCCTGCCGTACCAAAATGGGAGCACCTCCTGTTGCTTCATCACCTGGAGGAGAGAAAGAGTGATAGTCACTGAACTGTCTCAGATTAAAGTTATCAGTATATTTAGATAAGTCTCTAGACATAATGCCGACGGTTGACGTCAGACAAAGCGGTTGTGTTGGAAACGTGGAAGGAGAAATGTAGTTCACTATTTGAAGTTGACACTAACCCTGATTTTGACGAATCTTATTTTTCTAAAATTGAGGAAGATTTGACTGCAAATTGTATCAATCCCAATGTGTATATGAAAGCAGTGTTCTGAATTCTGAAATAACTGTAATCGAAGTTAAGGATGCTGTTTACAGAGCGAAGCGAGGGAAAGTTTGTGGGCGCGATCTAGTTCATGCAGAAGCTTTGAAAAATGAACGAAGTATTGAATTATTGCAGACATTGTTCACCTTCTGTTTTATTCATAATATGGACCCTGTGTCACGGCGCCAACTACCGTCCAGGGAGACTGGACGGAAAGTGATTCAGAATAGTAAACAAATACACAACCCGATTGTTGATACAACCATTTAGGCCTCGCGGACTGTAACCTTTATTAAAGGTAAGTACCCGCTCAAGCATGAATGAACTTGCACCTCAAGCACAACAACAGAGCCGCTAGAAACAACAAGCTAACTAGCTAAGTAAACTCGCCTTAATAGACTAGCTCAGGGAGCAGACCATATATTGACTGGTGACACCCAATGAGTGGGGGATAATAAGGACCTAACTACTGCCACTTACAGGAAGGGTATCGGACCAATAAACATTTAACAATCCAAGTGATCAACAGGACAAACAGACCAGAACAAGATATACCATCACAAAAGCCAGTCTTCAGCTCCGAAGTTCGGTCCTCAAGTCGTCCAACGATGCGGCGATTGACAAATAGGTAGCTGGTCGGCATGCACAAGGCAGTCTAGACATTCCCCAAGTGTGTTGGATATTACACTACTTGGCAACTCAACGTAAATGTATCCAAAACAAAAAAATTAGTATTCGGTTCAGGCCCAGCGGCTAAATCGAAAAAGATATTTCAATTTGGGGAGAAAAACCTTAGTTTAGTCTTCAAATATGTATTTCTTGGTAAAAAAACTACACAGAAACAAAAGAGTGGTAGCTAGCATAAAAACTATAACTGAAAACCCTTAAAGGCTATGTATAGCCTGCTGAAAAAAGCTAATATTTGAATTTACCTTTAGACTGTTTATTATCGGCATTTGATGTGATGATAACACCTATTTTAACCTATGAATCAGAAGTGTGGGGATTTGAAAAACTTGACCTAATAGAGAATATCCATCTAAAATTTCTGAAACTTGCATCTGGGCTAAGAAAATCCACGCCGCATTTTATGGTTTACGGCGAATTTGGCAGAACTCCAATATATATATTCTAACTAACATTATACTGATACACTTAAATTATCCCATGTGTTATATAATTACAGTTAAATAAATACAATAAAAACTTTAAGTCGGATCCTTGGATTCACTTTATCAAAGGTTTATTAGAGAGAATTGGATTATCAGATGTATTTGTAAATCCCTCGGTATATACCACGTCTTTTCTAGTTTTGAAAGCTGGACAAGTTTTAACAGACCAGTTTATTCAACAGTGGAGGGAAAGTATCAAATCTAACCCGAAAGGAATGTATTATCAACATTATAAACAATTACTTGCTTTTGAAAAATACCTACTTTTACCGAAACATGTTTCTGTTCCTATTTTAATATATCGACGTCGCAGAATTAAAAGGTTGTATCTGCAGATCTGCAAATTTTTAAACTTCTGAGATAATCAAGAAAAACTGTTTTAAACACGTACTTCTTGAGATGATGATTTGAAGTTTTTCATATCAGCAAAGCCGTAAGGAAGGAGTATCTTAATACTATGTACCTTATTGTATGTCCATTTTAAGATGAATTATTCACTTTTTAATGTTTAATGACTTTCTTCTTCTGACATTTGTCTTGAAGTTCGCCCACGTAATGGTCGTAAGTGACACATGCTGCCTTTTGATACTTTGTAGAAATCTACGCTAAGGCTGTAAATGGCACATACGTCCTTTCAGGTGACCATGATAATCTACCCTATACGCACAGATACGTCCAGATTGGCATTCCTGTTTGCACGCCATATTGGGGGATCTCTGTGCAGGACTTTTAATGAAGTAATTGCAAATAAATCTCTTCTCTGGTAGGTTTTAAATATTGTAAAGCTTATTTGGTGAACGCATGGCATGTTTGCTGATGTTTTGCAAACCTATGATGAAAAACAAATTCCAGGTTAGTATTTGCAGGGATCTTTACTCAACTGAGCAATATCAATCTATAACATCAGTTACTTAAAAAAGAGCAATCACAACTGAACATAATTGCGTGATTACGAGAAGACTTACCAACCTCAATATCCATGAGCAAAAAAATATCCTAAATGCATTTTTCTTCTGGAATATACCTAGCCATATGCAAACTGATACTCAGTTAAGGAAACTGAATAAACTAGCCATGGACATGGTTATGGTTTCACTCACACCAATTAAATCAACTTACACGATTTTCTGTTCAAATAACGGTAAACTCTTTCAAACATTAAACGAATGATTAAAGAACAGCACTTCAACAACATATTTCCTGAGAAACAGAACTTATTTCAACAACTTATTTCAAATATCTGAATCAGAGCTCTCTTCTTCGTCTGGCTCGGGAAGTCTGTCTTTGCTGTGGTCACCATGTGCCAGTGATGTGTAGAAATGCCTGCAATTATCTGGAATAAGGCCTTTGAAACACAAGCTTGACAAATCTCTGTACTTGGCATCGCTAATAGGTATGGCTTCAGAATACAAAGGTCTAACTTCAACACCTTTGAGAGATTTAGCACGTTGTCCAGTTGCATGCCTGATATTGGTTCTGTTGATTGAGAAAGAGCGGTATTCATCTCCAAAATCATATTTGAAGAAAACGTTCTCAGGTTCATCCTTTCTGTACTGAAATGAGTGAATCCTTGTCCACTCAACTTTGGTTCCATCAGTGGCTCTGTTTCTGTTTTTCACCAGAGTATCAACAATAGATTTGAAGTTGTAGACACTACTACAGTCAACCTCAATCACTTTGTAATGAGGAGGTTTTTGCTTTGCATTTCGAACAGCAGCCATCCATTCCATTGGGCTGTACAATTCTGCATATTTTGTGTACCTCTCTATTGTTGCATGTACAGAGTCCCCTTCCATTTGTGAATGCCCTCTTTCAAAGTAATTATGTGTAATCATCTTGATTGGAAGATTTGCAACTGAAAGCAAACACATTGTCGAAAACTGAATGTTTCTTTGTTGGCCAGTGCAACTGTCTGAGTAGTAGATAAGTTCGTCCACAGGTCCCAAGGTTTTGTTGTATTCAAACAGTCAAGAAGCAATCTCGCAACTTCCTCTTTTGGCTTTAGTTTCATCCCACATGTAGCAGTTAACATTGTGCGTCGCCATGTCATAGACAGATAAGTTATACGTTGCAAGCTTCCTACTGCAATAAAACTCGCAAACTGTAGATTTGGGAGTGATGAGAACTTTCTGCAAATCAAAATTTACTACTTTTATTGCACTGTTGGATTTTGCCCTTGTCTTATCAGCTTCCTTTAAGGTTCGTGCTTGCATTTTACGACGAGTGTGATCCTCCATTTTGGGTTTGTTGATCAATTTGTCTTCTTGACACATGTTTTGGTATGAGAAACAAAACGAGCAATTATCCTTTTTGGGTACATGGAAACCTAGGTTGAATTCAGTTCTGAATATTGAGCTGTATATGTGCTGCTTGACGGGAAGGTGATTGTTTATTTTGCATTCTTCTCTAAACAGTCTGTACATTTTTGAAATTGAGAGATCCTTTGAAAGATATTGCCTTTGCGAAGTTAGCCTGCAATAGTGAGAGTCTACTTTAGGAAAAGACATTATGTGATCCCGAACTCGACTGCGTTCTACCTGTGGAATTTTGGTCTTCGGACTCATCTTCCCTCTTTGGTCAACAGAGTGAATAGTGTTCCTTTGCATAATCGTGTAATACACGGTCTTTTCACCTATGCCTAAAGTTGATAGGAAAAATGCTTTGCACACTTGCAGCATGTTTGTGTCAGATGGGAGATGGTACTCATACGTCTGGCTACGTCTTGAAGCAGACCCCTTTTTCGTACGTCTGTTTTTCTCAGTTGCCTTTACATGACGTTTCAAAAAGTCACGTTGTCTTTCATAAGATAATTTCCAATAGGATGAGAAAACATGATGTCTGTCATCATCTTTGAATGTTCTGCAGAAATATTTGCATTTACATGGACATTGTTTGCATTCTCTCATTGGGACTCTTTTTCCTCGTGTATTTGTGTACTCCTCTCCATTGTTTCTTTTTCATTTCCGTTCATTTGATTTCCATTTTTCAGGGTTGCGAGTACGACTTCTTGACATCCGTGGCTGCTGCTTATCACTATCTTCATCGTCTATTTGTGGTCCCCCATCATCTCCATCATTTGTATCAAAGTTTTTTTCTGTGTTTTCGGAAGTTACTGGTGACAAAACTTGATTTGTATTGGTTTTGGATGTCTTTTGGCGTTTACGCTTCAGTAATTCTTTCATATTTGTGTCACTGTCATCCGTAGAATCAGATAAAGAATCTGGTAGTCTGTACTCATCACCAGATGATTCATACTCGTCCTGTGAACATGAGTCACTGATATCCTGGAGTGATTTCACTTTACAAATGCCGGTTGTGTCCCCTTCTGTTGTGTTATCAAACGATGATAGCAAAGTGGGTTTGCTGGAAAGAGTTGCTTGATCACAAGTACTAGATTCAAGAAGATCGGAATTGAAACTTATGTCTTCAGGTGTTGATGTACCGCTGCATAACTCCATGGAAGTTACAGGATACCCATCATTTTTGGATGTAAATAGAGCATTGGACAACAGATGACTCAGGGGTATGTCATCATCTGAGTCAAACTGGATGTCAGCATTATTTGAGGTTACCTTCATCAGTGTACAATGACTGATAGAAGCGTTATCTCCATCATCAGATGACTGAAGATTGACATCATTTGAGGAAACTTCTATGATATGTGAAACTGGGATCTGGTTGATGTCAACTGTACACGGATTGGTTTTCATCAAGTCACTCTTTGATGTAGATGTCTGACTATGGCTTGAGAGACTGAAGTGATTGTGAATTTGCAGATTGTCCAATGGTAGAGAATGCTGATCCACTTCTCTACTCTGCTCAGTAAAGCTTGGTATGTTATCAGCCTTGGAATGAAGCACTGGAAACTGACTCAGATCAGGACGGTCTGCATGCTCATGTGTACTAGCTTGGATACAATATTCACGGAATGTCGTATCCTTAGAGGTAAGAATCTCCTCAGCTCTACAGGCATCCATCTGCTGCTCATCACAGGTAAGAATCCTCTCAGCTCTACAGTCATCCACCTGCTGCTCCTCACAGGTTAGAATCTTCTCTGCTCTACAGGCATCCACCTGCTCATCACAGGTAAGAATCTTCTCTGTTCTACTGTCATCCATCTGCTGCTCCTCACAGGTTAGAATCTTCTCTGCTCTACTGTCATCCACCTGCTGCTCCTCACATGTTAGAATCTTTTCTGCTCTACTGTCATCCACCTGCTGTTCCTCACAGGTTAGAATCTTCTCTGTTCTACAGCCATCCACCAGGTTAGAATCTTCTCTGTTCTCCTCACAGGCTCCTCACAGAAGAATCTCTGTTCTACGGTCATCCACCTGCTGCTCCTCACAGGTTAGAATCTTCTCTGCTCTACAGTCATCCACCTGCTGCTCCTCACAGGTTAAAATCTTCTCTGCTCTACAGTCATCCACCTGCTGCTCCTCACAGGTCAGAATCTTCTCTGCTCTACTGTCATCCATCTGCTGCTCATCACAGGTAAGAATCTTCTCTGTTCTACTGCCATCCATCTGCTGCTCCTCACAGGTAAGAATCTTCTCTGTTCTACTGCCATCCATCTGCTGCTCCTCACAGGTAAGAATCTTCTCTGCTGCACTCTCATCCATCTGATGGTCCTTACTGGTAAGAATCGTCTGTGTTCCACTGTCTTCCAACTGCTGCTCATCACAGGCAAGAAACTTCTCTGCTCCATTGTGTTCCTGTACTCTACGGGCAAGAGCCTGAGAAATGCTGTTTTCAATTTCCTCAAAACTTGAGACAAGCGCTTCAATAAAACTATCATCTGACAACTCATCTTCATTAATATGACTCGCGGCAACAGTGTCATTCAGTAGTGGAAGATTGGCTGGTGAAGTTTCACTAATGTTGACGTCAACTTTTTCATTCATGCAGATACTAGCTTCGTCACAAGTGCCATCTGACATTTCAGTATCACCGTTATTGGTATCAGTAATATTCAATGAAATATCATCTTCACCCGTGACACTAGTTTCAACCTTCTCACGTGACTGTTTTCCCTTTCGTCGCCGACCCATTGTTTTGATCTGTTAACTAGCACCTACTCCGGATTGGCACTCAATACGTCCAAAACGATAAGGATGACGAGCGTACAACCTTTTGACTGCACAAACGTAACTGTAATTACATTCAACAGCTTGTATGCCTACTTTAAATCTTTCAGATCTGTTGAATACAAAAAGCAAGAGTCACTTGTTATCCATGTGTTTCCAAAGTTATAACACAGTTCCTACAACGTCCGTTTGGGAAACTATTTAAATTCGTCCCAAAGACCAGTGTCCTAGAATATCGTACTCTTCATTTCCATTGTCCTGCAACAAAGAAGATGAAATTATTAGTGTAAATGTATTGATGAAATAACTGTTATATGACTACCAAATCAGGTGACAAAGTGTCGCAAGTGTCAGTTACGACCCTGAAATGATATATGAGAATCAGCATAGGGCTTACACTTACGACCTTATTATTTATCACAACTTTCCTCACAAAATGTACAATAATATCAAAATATATTCCACATGTTTGTGTAAATGTGCAATAACAACCATACACACAGCATTATATTTCAGTTATTTGAGTCCCTGCATTGCATGTTAACTGTATACATACCTAATTTCTGTCACAGTTCACACATTGCGTGTTTCCTGGGCTCGATGGTCACGTGATGATGTAGTTTCGGCGGTATGATATTGCAAATGCATCAAAAACAAAACATGGATACTTTGGTCAATGAAATGTAATATTAGACTCATCCTGTTCATACTGTACTTTCATAGAACTTCAAATTTGACATAATTTCACCATGTACAATTACAATATATCTACTTTGTCGGATGTGCCACTTACGACTCCTCGTTTTTCCGCTAGATCGTAAACTTAACAGCAGAAGGTCGTAACTGAGTTCTGGGTGTCACTTACGCCTTTTTAATACTTCGTTCAACAGTGCATGATTACATACGACCTTTGTTAAATTCAATATATTTTAAAAATGACTTGAGATAAATGCACAATTTTTATTGAGAATATGCACAACTCCAATACAAATAGAAAGAGAACAAAAAAGGTTTTTGGCTGTAAGTGTCAGATACGACTATTTAATTCTGCGACGTCGATATACTGAAACTGGAAGATGGCAAAGCATACCGAGGGATGGTATTGTACACTTTGTAACTTAAATGTAATAGGTGATGAATTACACTATATTCTTAAATGACCAGCACTGAATTCATATCATGAACAATATATAACGCATAACCCAGAAATCTGTTGCGAAAATGTTACATTTTCAAACATGGATAACTCGTCCACAAATAGACTTTAGTATATGAATTTTTACATCAGTTTAGAAGAAGGTAATGTCTATACAACCAAGTGGATAATTTTAGATAACGGAGACGTTGAGCGCGATGGTGACCACGTAGCATGGTCCCGACGTCGGGTCTCCTGGCTTTCAAGGAAAGTATATCCCCACCACAAAATGTCTTAACAACATATTTAAATTAGTCTTTGTTTCTTTCACCAACCACTACTAGACACAATCATTTTTTGTCCAAGTTTATCATACAGTTGCAAAAAATGCTAGCAAACCTTTAAAAAGGGTTTGTACTTATCTACCAGTTAATATATGCACTTATTCATGTATAGGGAACTGTACATATGTATAAGGAATTATTTATTGTATTCAGTTGTCTATCTAAGACGCATGCATATGAATTGTACATGAATTGTTGTTAATATACTGAACATCATTGAAAACGCACCACTTATAAAAGTTCAGATTATTAAAAGCACGTGTAAGGAATTGATATTTTTGGAGTGGATAATAACAGATGGACGACTGACAAAAACAACAACACAGAATAGACGCTCATTCATTGAAATGTTCCACAGTCAGAAAGGATCAAATACACGTTGGGTCAAATCGAAAAGTCAATATCGCGTGTGACCGCCATTTGCATTGACACATGCAGTTCAACGTCTCCTCATTGAGTCAATGAGCGTCCGAATAGAGTTCTTGAGGATGGCATTCCACTTCTGCAGTAGTGCAGCCTCAAGTTCCCGGATGTTTCGCATCTGTTGTCGCCGCGAAAGACTTTGAGCAATTTCGTCCCACAAGTGCTCCATGGGGGATACATCTGGCGACTGTGCTGGCCAATGAATAACCTGGATGTGTTGCTGGGCCAGATACTGCATGGGTTGAAGACAGATATGATGTGATTCTGAAGAATCTGCTCACGATAATAAAGGGCAATAACTCTCCCTTGACAGACATGAAGGCAGTCCTGTGACTGTAATTTATTCCACCCCAGACCATGACACTCTCACCATCCAAAGGTCTGTCTGAACCACACACTCATCAGCATAACGTTCACCACGTCTACGCCAAACACGTAATCGGCTGTCAGCATTATGTAGATGAAGACGTTACTCGTCAGTGACTACCACACCATGCCATTGTTGTAACCTTTACTGAAAATGCCTGCTAGCCCATTGTATACGCTCATTACGGTGTCTGTCAGTCAGAATTGGTCCAATGTAAGGATGTCGAGCATGGAGCCCTGTAGCGTGTAGACGGCTTAGCATGGAGTCAGCGCTGATGACCCCCACGTCAACCTTGAACTAGTGTAGCAGTCCTGGCAGTCGGCAGTGTTCAATCACGGATATGGACAAGGTCAATATGGCGATCCGATGGAGCGTCGTAACACGTTGTTGCCAAGGTCATTGAAGGTCACGGGTTTCTGCCTGTCTACTGATGTCGTCTATGAAGCCTATCGATGGTGGAGTGGCCTAGTCCAAGTTGTCGAGCAATATCCCTGCTGCTGGTGCCAACATGAATCATGCTTAATGTATGTTCTCTTTCGTGAGGTGTTAACCTCGCTATCTCTGTCCTCGTTTCACAATCGTTAGTGAAGCAATGAGAATCGGTTCTCACACACCTGCTTTTAATGTCATAGTCAGTATGATTTCAGAATGAAATTCGCGCTTTTTACATTGCGAGGCTGCATGTTGATGCATTTTGGACTTAAGAGTCATACTGTGGACAGGAATTTGTTTCTAAAAACACAACATTTTTTTCAACTGGACATGCCCTTCGACTTCATGTTAGTTATATTCATTGATCATTGTCATGCTGAAATCCATCTTGATGAAAGCGTTTTCAATGATGTTCAGTATATATGCTCTTGTATCACCGAAGGTGATTTTTTGAGTAATAAAATAGTCAATAGTCAATAAGATAACTGGCTACGTCCAGCTATAACGTAACCGCGCGGACGCCGCAGAGGACAATACACAACGCGAGGTGAAAGTTGGCATCTAGCCTCTGACCAACGAAGAAGTGTGCTATTACTTGGGTACATAAACGACTATTAGTAACTTGTAGGCGTATGCACAGTGAAGGGGAATACATGTATGAGAAGAGCGTGAGCTCTACTACAAATAGATATAGGTGGATATTAAGAAAATAGTTTGTACAATTTTGTAGTTAGCAAAACCCCTGATAAAATAAGGGGCATACATAAAGGTTGGAGCGACGTAAACGCTTATATCTCCCTTATAAAAACAGAAACAGCGACGGGAGTCACATATACAAAAAGCTAGTAAACACCTCTACAAGAGGGTACATACATAGGTGGTAAATGCATAACAAGCAAAAATTAGCAACAGGGGACGCACGGCTCCACTAGATGAGCTGAATAAACAAATGCGCAGGCACTTATTATATGGCAATGTTGCATTACACACACGCGAGTCGCGTGACACCAGACATTTAGAAGCAGAATATTTTCTATGCTATTAGGAAACCCAATTCGGATTTACGTGACCCACTGGGCTACCGTGGAATCTCACTCCTGCAAATGCCATGTAAAATATATAGTGAAATTCTTAATTTTCCGCCTTTCTACGTGGCTGGAAAATAGTAACATACTTTGCGAAGAACAAAATGCAAATGGTTTTCGGCGTAAAAGAAGCACCCAAGAACATTTATATACGTTGTACTCAGTTATTCAACTCCCCAAATCGATATATATTGATTATGTTGACGCCATGAAGGCTTTTGACCGAGTTAACCGAGACTGTCTTTCTTATAAATTACGGATACGAAGCTGTAAAATCCATGGACGATAAAACTTCAAGTCAAATTAACGTGAACGGTTACTATACAGACCCGTTTACCGTGTACACAGGTGTCAGGCAGGGATGCATGCTTTCCACCAAACTTTTCTCCATCTTTATTAATGATCTTGCAAGTGAAATTAACAGCTAGCGCTGTGGAGTGAAGATTGGTGATAATATCTTGAGCTGATTACTCTGTGCGGATGATGTCGCTCTCATTGCACCAGCTGAACGACGCTTACAGTGCATGTTTGATGCCGTATCTACTTGGTGTTCAAAATGGAGGCTGTTTATAAACATTGGTAAAACCAAAGTTGTCCATTATCGTGCAAATCAGACGTCTCGCAGCGACAACGTATTTAAAATCGGCAACGATAACAAAAAATATGCTGATGCATGTAAGTATTTGGGACTTTGGCTGCAAAAGAATCTCGATCTGAACTTTACGGCTAAAGAACTTGCCAAATCCGCCAGCAGAGCATTGGGAGCTATTATTGGAAAATTTAAAATATCTTTCGGAGGTATGTCAGGGGAAGCTTTAAACACGCTTTACGGTAACCTCGTCCACCGTATCCTGACGCACGGCGCCTCTATATGGGGATTCAAAGAATATAGATGTATCAACAACGTTCAACACCGTACTTGTAGTTTTTTGCCTTAATGTAGGAGGTAAAACACCAAACATCGCAGTGAGAGGCGAGATGGGCTGGTTATCAGTCGGTTCTGGAATAGGCTGTTTTATATATACATGAATAATACAATGATGCAGTATTTATCTGAATTTCCATAGCACATGGCGGCAAAATATGGACAATTTTATTGAAGCGGATACATTTTTTGTCTGAAATGAATTAATCATATTAAATATTGAAGGTTTTGTAATGTACTTTTGGGGAAGAAACCTTTTTGTTATTTCGTTAAAATATTGCCAGTT